TGCTTACCTACTTGGGAAATCTGTGAATGATCACAGAGGTCACATGGTACAGGGCTATGCACAACACCTGATCGTCCGAGCGGGATCTCTGTGCGAGGTCGCGATCATTGTGATCACTGATTGGCCAATTGATGTGTTCTCAGGCTGAGTAGTATGCAGAGTGTCACTTGTGACATCCATTGCTTTCTACGTGTGAAAATCTGTGAATGATCGCAGAGATAACATGGTAAAGGGCTATTCACAAACACAGCCGTGTACCAATGTGACTATGCAGTGGACCAATCACAGCTTCACACAGTATTTCTCCCATATGGCTGCAAGAATGCTGCCAGAGATGAAGAAATGCTTGCGGTTATAGCCTTTATTGGTTGTATAAGCAATCGGTGTAATCAATTGAAAAAAAAAAAAATCTTCATCACCCCCCCACAAGTAGTACAAGTGTCACCCATGGTGACACTGTACTGCTGGGTGACAGGTATGTAAAAAAAGAACATGAAATAATATAAAAATAATAAAAATGTAAAAAAAAATTAAAAATTTGTAATTTATGGTTTGTAAACTAATTTGGGTTAATTTTTTTTTTTTTTTGTTTTTACTAAAAATAGTAATTATATTCATTTTTGGCCAAGATTTATGATGAATTATTATTTGCAAATTTTATAAGAAAAACAATCTTCTTTTCAAAATTTTTGGCACTTTTTTCATTTATATATAGCAAAAAACAAATATCCCAGTGGTTAATACCACTACAATATAAAGTTCTGTATTCTGTCTTCAAAAAAATGCTATAAACATTAATATGAGTACAAGTGTTGTGCATTGATCCTCGCGCAAATTGTCATTTCAAAGTGTGACATAGCGCTGAAAAAATGGCCTGGACAGGAGTAAGGGGGGGAAAACGTCTGGACTGTAAGGGGGGCTGTAGCGTCCGGACTGGAAGGGCAGGGGGAACGCGTACGGCGACTGGAAGGGCGGGGGAATGCGTCCCGACTGGAAGGGCGGGGGAAGCGGTTCCGGACTGGAAGGGGGGGGAAGCGTCCGGACTGGTTAAGGGCGGGGGAAAGCGTCCGGACTGGAAAGGGCGGGGGGAAGCGTCCGGACTGGAAGGGAGGGGGAAGCGTCCGGAACTGGAAGGGCGGAGGAAGCGTCCGGCACTGGAAGGGAGCGGGGAAGCGTCCGGGACTGGAAGGGCGGGGGAAGCGTCGCGGACTGGACGGGGGGGGGGAAGCGTCCAGTCTGGACTGGAAGGGGGGGGAACGCGTCCGGACCTGGTAGTGGGTAAGAAGGTTTTCTGATGGCTGGGAGAGGCCGGGGTCAGTTTTTTGTTATGTGATCTCACCATGATTGGTTGTCACATGATCCTGACAGCGCCTGATGGCGGCTTGTCTTTCTGTTCTGCGCCAGTAGCCTGTGCCTCTAGACCGGTTTCATGTAACATTGGTGTTTCACTTAAACATGCGCGGGCCTCTCTTCGTCTTGGCCCACCCCCCCCGCCATGAGGCTGCCTATTGCGTCCTCTCGGCACAGAGGGGTTGAAATAACAAATATACTTGTTCTGTGTAATGGTTTTGCACAGAGCAGCCCGAGGCCTCCTCTTCTCAGTTGCCCCCCCCCCCCACCAGTGCCTCCTGGCTCCTCCCCACCCACACCACTAAGTGGCCCCATTGATCTCTCTGACCAAGCCCTGGTGGGCGGGCGAAACGTGTCAGAAGGCGTGGCCGAATGGTGACTAAGGCCAATTCCTTCACATTGGCTCCTGGGGTCGGTTGAGCAGCGTCCACCCCCCTTCATTTGTAAGAGGCGCCATTGACACACCACAGCTCAGCTCAACCGCCCCTCCCTTCCTCACTGGCTATGATTGACAGCAGCGTGGGAGCCAATTGCTTCCCGCCTGCTGTGTTTGAGCCAATGAGGAAAGAGAGAGGTGCTGCACATCGCTGGATCGGGCCTCAGTAAGTGAAAGGGTGGAGGGGGGATTGTGGGGCGGAGCAGACGACAGGAATGTATTAAGGTAACAAAATACGTTTCGCTTATTACAACCATTTTTTCATTTTTTTTCAACAGTCAAAAAGCAGACCTCAAGTTCAGCTTCATCGGCATGCTTTGCCTGCCCTTTAACTTTCCGACTTGTTTTTTCTCACCAGGGTACACCGCAGCCTCCAGCAATGGTGCAGTTGCCTTGCAGCAGCCCTACTACGCGACCAACGGCTTCCTGATACTGGATTCCCTGTGGTGCCCGGCGATACCGTCCTCCAACAACCGGTCCAAGTTCCTTACGTGGTTTCCAACCACCTATCGGCGCCCCCTGTGCCCCCCATGCCTTCAGTCATGCCCACCCCTTGCCATCATCCTGTGCCCCCCGTGGCCCTCACGCAGTAACCAATCCCTCAAGTGCAGCCTCCGGTCACCACCATTCCTGTAAGTGCGATTTGTAGACTGGATTGAATGGGTAAAGTGACCTTGCCGCTCCAAAGTGAGGCCCCGCCTATTTACTGAGCTCTGTGGGCTCGCTCACACGACGGACCGGTTCCGATCGGGTCCGACTGGCCGTTTTTTCAGGTGGACCCGATCGGAACCTCCGTTCTCCCTATGGAGCGGCGGGTGTAAACGGACATGTGTCCCGTCTACACCCACCGACATCCGATCCGACCAGCAAAAAAGACGGATGGGGAACCAATCCCTCTTCCGTTTGTCGGGTCGGATGAAAACGGACAAGGCGGTCTGTTTTCCATCTGATCCGGCCCTTGAAGGAAGCGGCAGCGGAGCGGACGCAGAGCTGTCATCCGCTTATTCAGCAGAGAGATCCCCGCTGGGCATTCGATCTGCTAAACAGGTCTGCTCTCTGTGGAAATGGGGGAGGGGGAAGTGTACCTCTTAGCCGCGGGGCCGCCAGTTGGGAGCCCTTGGGCCGCGGGCCGCCAGTTGGGAGCCCTTGGGCCCGCGGGCAGCCAGTTGGGAGCCCTTGGGCCGCGGGCAGCCAGTTGGGAGCCCTTGGGCAGCCAGTTGGGAGCCCCCTTGGCTTCGAGGGCAGCCAGTTGGAGCCCTTGGCTTCGAGGGCAGCCAGTTGGGAGCCCTTGGCTTCGAGGGTCAGCCAGGGGGGAGCCCTTGGCTTCCGAGGGCAGCCAGGCGGTCGGAGCCCTTGGCTTCGAGGGCAGCCAGGCGGGGAGCCCTTGCTTCGAGGGCAGCCAGGCGGGGAGCCCTTGGCTTCGAGGGCAATAAAAGCCAGCGGGGAGCCCTTGCCTTCGAGGGGCAGCCAGGCGGGGAGCCCTTGGCTTCGAGGGCAGCCAGGGGGGAGCCTTGGCTTTGACGGCTGTTCAAACACAGCCAGTTAGCCAATGAGAAGAGGGGATAGGGCCAATCATCGGCGCATGTGTGAATGGATGCACAAAGCAGCGTGTGCCCCCAAAGCAAAGTTGCTTGCTATGGGGCACCCAACAGAAAGGCGGGAGCCTGCGGGGGGGGGGGGGGGGACCTGAGAAGAGGCGATCCGGGCTGAACTGTACAAAACCACTACACATGGCAGGTAAATATAGACGTTTCCATGCTGTGGAGCGCCGCGATAATTCATTGAAGCTTCCTTCAGAATATCTGCTTTGCTTATACATCCCCTACATCCTGTACTGTCAAGAAGATATTCTGACAGATCCCAGCAGGAGATCTGCATGGCATCAGCTATCTAGTGATTCTTGGTGCAATGCTTTCTATGTTCCTGTAGTCAAAAATAATTTTAATGCACTTTTTGTTTTTTTTTTTAACCTGTCAAAAAATGTGCATTTTTTTTTTTGACTAAAAAGCGAACCTATCCTAAGTAACGGAGGGCAACTCATTTCTGTGAACTTTGATTATATCCCCCTCAGGTTGGCTTTTCTTCTTAGTCTGTTAGATTCAGTCCTTCATAACTAACAGATCAGTCCACACCATGGCTGCCACCCTGTGCTGTACATCTGATAACTAACAGATCCCAGTCCCCACTTTTCATGGCTGCACCCTGTGCTGTACATCTGATAACTAACAGAATCAGTCCACACAATGGCTGCACCCTGTGCTGTACATCTGAGTAACTAACAGATCAGTCCACACCACGGCTGCACCCTGTGCTTGTAACATCTGATAACTAACAATCAGTCCACCCCACGGCTGCAAAAAGGCCAACTGTGCTGTACATCTGATAACTAACAGATCAGTCCCACACCCTTGGCTGCACCCTGTGCTGTACATCTGATAACTAAACAGATCAGTCCACACCATGGCTGCACCCCTGTGCTGTACATCTGATAACTAACAGATCAGTCCACACCATGGCTGCACCCTGTGCTGTACATCTGAATAACTAACAGATCAGTTACGCACACCACGCTGCAGCCTGTGCTGTACATCTGATAACTAACAGATCAGCAGTCCACACCAACGGCTGCACCCTGTGCTGTACATCTGATAACTAACAGATCAGTCCACACCACGGCTGCACTCTGTGCTGTACATCTGATAACTAACAGATCAGTCCACACCACGGCTGCACCCTGTGCTGTACATCTGATAACTAACAGATCAGTCTACACCATGGCTGCCACCCTGTGCTGTACATCTGATAACTAACAGATCAGTCCCACACCCCCCATGGCAGCACCCTGTGCTGTACATCTGATAACTAACAGATCAGTCCCACACCACGGCTGCACCCTGTGCTGTACATCTGATAACTAACAGAATCAGTCACACCTTGGCTGCACCCTGTGCTGTACATCTGATATTCTAACAGATCACGTCCACACCATGGCTGCACCCTGTGCCTGTACATCTGATAACTAACAGATCAGTCCATACCACGGCTGCACCTGTGCTGTACATCTGATAATAACAGATCAGTCCACACCATGGCTGCAACCCTGTGCTGTACATCTGATGTTTGCGCTTTAAACTTAGGGTAGTAATGTCATGTTACCCGGAAGTGTATTGTCACCACCTGTGTTTCATCCTGCAGGCACCATTGGGTGGACCTTATGCGCTCCTCGGCCTCGGGTAAACTCACAACAGCACTTCAGCCAACACAGAGCTCCCCCCAGGGTCAGAAGAGAAGATTCATGGGATGGAGCTGCCGAGGAGCAAGATGCCGGACTGCTGGGATACCAGGTGCTATAACTTCTCTATATACACCGGGCCGGTGGGGGGGGGGAGGGGGTGCTGGGAGTGGTCATTCTAGAGGAGCAGACGCTGCATGACGCTTTATTAAGTATTCTGTTTCACTGACTGGCCCCCCCGACACCACTTGTAAGTGCAAATTTCATTGAGGGGCCCAGAGCCAGACCCCGGGAGCTGTTAGACTCCGTAATAGGCCTGTAACCCCCAATATGCTGACCGGGCCCAATTGTCGGCTTCCCCTCCTCCCCCCCTCTCCCCCTCCCCCCCTCCTCTCCCCCTCCTCCCCTCCCCCCTCTCCCCTCCTCTCCCTCCCCCGCCCCTCCCTCTCCCCCCCCCCACCCCCCTCCCCTCCTCCCCTCCTCTCCCATCCCTCCCCTCCCCCCCCCAAGCTCCTCCCCCTCTCCTCCCCCCCTTCCCGACCCTCCCCCCTCTCCCCCCCCCTCCCCCTCTCCCCTCCCCCTCCCCCTCCCCTCCCCCTCCCCCCTCCCACTTCTCTCCTCCTCCCCTCTCCCTCCCCCTCCTTACTCCCCTCCTCCCTCCCCTCCCCTTCCTCCCCCCCCCCTCTCCCTCCCCCCCTCCCCCCCTTCCCCCCCCTCCCCCTCCCCTCCCCCCCCCCTCCTTCCTCCCCTCCCCCCCCCCCCTCTCTCCTCCTCCCCCGTCCCCCTCTTTCTCCCCCTCCTCTCCCCTCCCCCTCCCCCTCTTCCTCCCCTCCCCCCCCCCCCCCCGTCCCTCTCCCTCCCCCCCTCCCCCTCTTCCTCCTCTCCCCCCCCCCCCTCTCCCTCCCCTCCCCCCCCTCCCCCTCCCTCCTCTCCTCTCCCCCCCCCCCCCCCTCTTCTCCCTTCTCCCCTCTCCCCTCCCCTCTTCCCTTCTCCCCCCCCTCCCCTCCCCCCCCTCCCCTCCCCCCCCCCTCTCCACCCTCCCCCCCCCCCCCTTCTCTCCCTCCCTCCCCTCCCCCCCTTCCTCCTCTCCCCCTCCCTCCCTCCCCTCCCTTCCTCCTCTCCTCATCCCCTCCCCCTCTTCCCTCTCCTCCCCCCCCCCCCCCCTCCCCCCCCCCCCTTCCCCCCCTCTCCCCCCCCTCCCCCCCCCCTTCCCCCTCCCTCTCCCCTCCCCTCCCCTCCCCCTCCTCCCCTCCCCTCCCCCCTCTTCGCCCCCTTCCCTCCCCTTCCTCCTCTCCCCCTTCTCCCCTCCCCCTCCCCCCCTCTCTCCCGTCCCCCGTCCCCTCCCCCCCCCCCACTCTCCCCCTCCTCTCCCCCTCTTCTCTTCTCTCCCCCCCCCTCCCCCTCCTCTCTCTCTATCCCCCTCCTCCCCCCCCCTCTTCTCTCCCTCACTCCCGCTCCCCCTCTTCCTCCTCCCCCCTCCTCCCTCCCTCTCACCTCCCCTCCCCTCCTCCCCCTCTTCTTCCCTCTCCCCCCTCTCCCTCCCCCTCCTTTCTCCCCCTCCCCCTCTTCTCCTCTCCCCTCCCCTCCCTTCCCCCTTCTCCCTCCCCCCCCCCTCTTCTCTCCTCCTCCCCCTCTTCTCTCCCCTCCCCCTCTTCTCCCTCCTCTCCCCTCCCCCCCCCCTCCCCTCTCTCCTCCTCCCCCTCCCCCTCTTCTCCCTTCTCTCCCCTCCCCTCTCTCCTCCCCCCCCTTCTCTTCTCTCCCCTCCCCTCCCCTCCCCCTCTTCTCTCCCCCCCCCCCTCCCCTCCCCCTCTTCCTCTTCCCTTCTCCCCTCCCCCTCCCCCTCCCCCTCTTCTCTCCCCTCTTCCTCCCCTCCCCCTCTTCTCTTCTCTCCCCTCCCCTCCCCTCCCCCTTCTTCTCCTTCTCTCCCCTCCCCCCCTCCCCCTCTTCTCTTCATCCCCCCCCCCTCCCCTCCCCCTCTTCTCTTCTCTCCCCTCCCCTCCCCTCCCCCTCTTCTCATTCTCTCCTCTCCCTCCCCTCCCCCCCTTTTCTCTCCTCTCCCCCTCCCCTCTCCCCCTCTTCTCTTCTCTCCTCTCCCCTCCCTCTCCCCCTCGTTCTCTTCTCTCCTTCTCTCCCCTCCCCTCCCCTCCTTCTCTTCTCTCCTCTCCCCTCCCCTCCCCCTCTTCTCTTCTCTCCTCTCCCCTCCCCTCCCCTCTCTCTCTCTTCTCATGTCCTCATCTCCCTTATCCCCTCCCCCCTCTTCTCTCCTCTTTTCTCTCCTCTCCTCTTTTCTCCTCTCCTTCCCACTGGCTTTAAGCTCAGTTGCTGCATAGAGTGCCATACAGGGGTCGTTTCCACTAATCCCCCCCCCCCGTGTGCCCCTGCAAGGCTTCCGGCTTCCGGCTTCCCCTCCTCTCCTTCCCATTGGCAGTTGCAGGCACACAGTAGGATCTTTCAGCATGGAGAATGTGAGAAGGGTCTGGTAAATGTCACATTTACCAACCCTTTTCCTTCATGAATGAATACAATGAGTGATCGGTACTGATCACTTACTGTTCGTACCTGAAGCATAGTAACCTGTGTTGGTTTTTTTTTTTTTGTTTTTGTGGAGAGTGGACCCTGTCAGATTGGTTGGTTGTATGGGGCCCCGTGGTTTTTAACAGCAGCCCTGGTTGGAATCCCTGTCTGGTTTTTATGCCTGACTGCGTCCCCACAGGAGATATGAGGACAGCCGTCGAAAGTGAAAACTCCCTTCATTTTGCATGGTGTCACCGAGACAGGAAGTGAAGGGAAATCTTTCCAGCGGGAACAAAGGATTGGGTAAAAACTTGATAGCGGTTCTAACCTTTCCCCATTCTGGCCAAAAAAAGGCTCCGGCTTCACTTTATATTACAGATGAAGAATTCTCAGAGATTCCTTGTACCGCGTTCAGCACAGCAGGTGATCTCTACCGACCATCCATGTATTTGAATCATAGTTTTTTTGTCGGCGATACAGATTTCCGCCAGAGATTCCCGGATCCCAGTCCATTCCCTAGACAGATCATTGCTGCTGTAGTGACATCTTGTGGTCAGGTTGGGGCATGGATCTCAGAAAACTTTATTTATCAATGTGTTCGCTGCACACACTCCGGCCCAGCATCTCTCAACCTTTGTGACACGGAGGAACCCTTTAACAATCTTTCCAGGATCAGGGAACCCCCGCTAATAATTACTAGATCTACAGCTCACAGTACATTAATGTGGTGGTCAGTGGGAAGAATGCCCCTTACATTGGGGGGGTCAGTGGGAAGAATGCCCCTTACATTGGGGGGGTCACTAGGAAGAATGCCCCTTACATTGGGGGGGTCACTGGGAAGAATGCCCCTTACATTGGGGGGGAGAATCACTGGGAAGAATGCCCCTTACATTGGGGGGGTCACTGGGAAGAATGCCCCTTACATTGGGGGGGTCACTGGGAAGAATGCCCCTTACTTTGGGGGGGGGGGGGGGGGGTCACTGGGAAGAATGCCCCTTACATTGGGGGAGGGTCACTGGGGAGAATGCCCCTTACTTTGGGGGGGTCACTGGGAAGAATGCCCCTTACATTGGGGGGGTCACTGGGGAATGGCCCTTACACACTGGGAAGAATGCCCCTTACTTGGGGGGGGTCACTGGGAAGAATGCCCCTTACATTGGGGGGGTCACTGGGAAGAATGCCCCTTACATTGGGGGGGTCACTGGGAAGAATGACCCTTACAATGCCCCTTACATTGGGGGGGTCACTGGGAAGAATGCCCCTTACATTGGGGGGGGGGGAAGAATGCCCTTACATTGGGGGGGTCACTGGGAAGAATGCCCCTTACATTGGGGGGGTCACTGGGAAGAATGCCCCTTACATTGGGGGGGTCACTGGGGGGGTCACTGGGGAGAATGCCCCTTACATTGGGAGGGTCACTGGGAAGAATGCCCCTTACATTGGGGGGGGTCACTGGGGAGAATGCCCCTTACATTGGGGGGGTCACTGGGAAGAATGCCCCTTACATTGGGGGGGTCACTGGGAAGAATGCCCCATTTACATTGGGGGGGGGTCACTGGGAAGAATGCCCCTTACATTGGGGGGGTCACTGGGAAGAATGCCCCTTACATTGGGGGGGGTCACTGGGAAGAATGCCCCTTACATTGGGGGGGTCACTGGGAAGAATGCCCCTTACATTGGGGGGGTCACTGGGAAGAATGCCCTTTACATTGGGGGGTCACTGGGAAGAATTGGGGGGTCACTGGGAGAATGCCCCTTGCATTGCCCTGGGAAGTATGCCCCTTACATTGGGGGGGGGGGTCACTGGGAAGAATGCCCCTTACATTGGGGGGGGGGGAAGAATGCACTGGGGGGGTCAAAGAATGCCCCTTGAGAGGGTCACTGGGAAGAATTGGGGGGGTCACTGGGAAAGAATGCCCCTTGCATTGGGGGGGTCACTGGGAAGAATGCCCCTTGCATTGGGGGGAGTCACTGGGAAGTCACACTGGGAAGACTGCCCCTTGCATTGGGGGGGTCACTGGGAAGAATGCCCCTTACATTGGGGGGGGTCACTGGGAAGAATGCCCCTTACGTTGGGGGGGTCACTTTGAAGAATGCCCCTTACGTTGGGGGGGTCAATGGGAAGAATGCCCCTTACGTTGGGAGGGTCACTGGGAAGAATGCCCCTTACGTTGGGGGGGTCACTGGGAAGAATGCCCCTTACGTTGGGAGGGTCACTGGGAAGAATGCCCTTACGTTGGGGGGTCACTGGGAAGAATGCCCCTTACGTTGGGAGGGTCACTGGGAAGAATGCCCCTTACGTTGGGGGGGGGGTCACTGGGAAGAATGCCCCTTACGTTGGGGGGGGTCACTGGGAAGAATGCCGTTTGCATTGGAGTGGGGTCACAGGGAAGGATGCCCCTTACATTGGGGGGATCACTATGAAGAATACCCCCCCCCCCTCCATGTACATGCTTCATGCATGTAGACAGTATTATACCCATTAACCCTTCACATGTATCTCTATGAAGTCTAGACTCCTTCATGCTTCAACAAACATGGATAAATGAGAGCGGCTTTGGGTTGTGTTCCTGGTGCAGCCAAATCATTTCAGCCGTTGGATTTCTTGTGGGGGGCGATCGGGCGTTTGCTGCAGGCAGGAACTTCTGTCATTCAGGATTGTGTGCTAAAAACCGACCAAATCAGAGATTTCTTTTGAAATGTTAAAAAGTAAAAATGCTATTGGGGCTACAGTGGGGAAAGCCAGGGACAAAAATGAATATATATGATGATATATTGCAGCCTTGCATATGGCGGCTGCATTAGTGGTTTTTTTTTCCTTCAGGCAAAGAACATTTTCAGCAAGTACAGAAATACCTGTTAATCCCGCAGTGCCCTTCATGGGAGCTAAAAAAAAGCAAAAAAAAAAAAGCAACCTTTAAAATCACCTTTCTTAACCACTTCCTAGCCGGCCATAGTCAGTGTGTACACACATTGTATGTTGAAATGCATTTTTATTACAAAATATGAAAAATATTTGTAAAAATACGTTTCACATTTTTTTTTTTTTTTTAACATAAAAAAAGTAATTTTAACATATTTTTACATCTATTTGTAAAGGCATTCCAAAAATGCTGATTTGTATTTCTAAAGACATACAGTATTATTATTATACAGTATTTATATAGCGCCAATAGGACATGAGACAATACAATACACGAGGGGTTTCGAGGGCCCTGCTCCTTGGAGCTTACAATCTAGGAGGGAGGGGATAGTGGTACAGGAGGAGATGGCTGTGGGGGATGGAGTGGAGGAGATCGGCTGTTAGGTGTGGGTGGGGTAGGCTTCCCTGAAGAGATGGGTTTTCAGGGAGCGCCTGAAGGCGAGTAGAGTAGGTGACAGTCTGATGGATTGGGGTAGGGAGTTCCAGAGGATGGGAGAAGTCCTGGAGAAGTCCTGCAGTCGGCCGTGGGAGGTGGAGACCAGGGAGCTGGAGAGTAGGAGGTCCTGTGAGGAGCGAAGGGCACGGGTAGGGTGGTATTTGGGTATCAGGTCGGTGAGGTAGTTTGGGGCAGCGTTTATGAATGGCTTTGTATGTCAGGTAGTAGTTTGAATTTAATGCGTTGGGCAATCGGGAGCCAATGTAGGGAATGACAGAGGGGGGTGGAGCCCAGTGGAGGGAATGACAGAAGGGGTGGAGGCCAGTGGAGGGAATGGCAGGGGGGGTGCAGGACACTGAGTGGAGGCCAGTGGAGGGATTGGCAGAGGGGGGTGGATGACACTGAGTGGAGGCCAGTGGAGGGATTGGCAGAGGGGGGTGGAGGAACACTGAGTGGAGGCCAGTGGAGGGATTGCAGAGGGGGGTGGAGGACACTGAGTGGAGGTTAGTGGAGGGATTGGCAGAGGGGGGGTGGAGGACACTGAGTGGAGGCCAGTGGAGGGAATGACAGAGGGGGGGGAGGCAGAAGAGGAGCGGTGGGTGAGGTGGATGAGTCTGGCCGCTGAGTTCAGGATAGACTGGAGCTGGGGATAGCCTGTGTTTGGGTAGGCCGGTGAGGAGGGAGTTGCAGTAGTCCAGGCGTGAGATGATGAGGGAGTGTACGAGTTATTTGGTTTGGTGTCTGTCTGGGTGTGAGGAACGTACGTATCTTGGAGATGTTGCGGAGGTGGAGCCTGCATGAATTTTCAAGTGATTGGACATGAGGTTGGAAGGAAAGGTTTGAGTCCAGGGTGACACCCAGGACTTTGGCTTGGGGGGTGGGATTGATGTTGGCGTTGTTGGTCGTGATGGGGGGGGGGGATGCAGGCTGGGGGGAAAGCTAGGAGCTCGGTTTTGGAAAGGTTCAATTTGAGGAAATGGAGCGACATCCAGTCTGATATGTCGTGCAGTAGGTTTGTGATTCGGGCGGAGAGAGAGGGGGTGAGGTGGGGGGTAGAGAGAAAGATTTGTGTGTCATCGGCGGAGAGGTGATAGTTGAAGCCGTGGGAGTGTATGATTTGGCCAAGGGAGGAGGCGTAGATGGAGAAGAGAAGGGGTCCGAGGACAGAGCCTTGGGGGACCCCAACAGAGAGGGGGAGGTGGCAGAGTTATAGGTAACGCTGAAGGAGCGTTGGGATAGATAGGAGGAGAACCAGGAGAGAGTGGAGTTCCTGAGGCCGAGGGAGTGTAGTTTATCGAGGAGGAGGGGGTGGTCAACTGTGTCGAAGGCCGTGGAGAGGTCAAGGAGTAGGAGGACTGAATAGTGGCCATTGGTTTTGGCGGTTAGAAGGTCGTTGGAGAGTTTGAGGAGGGCGGGTTCGGTGGAGTGTAGAGGGCGGAAGCCGGATTGTAATGGATCGAGGAGGTTGTTGTCAGTGAGGTGGACGCTTAGGCGGGTGTAGACTAGGCACTCTGTATGTATTTTTTTTTTTTTTTTTTGTTTTGTGTGTTTTTTTTTGTTTTTTTTTTGTGTTTTTTTTTTTTTTTTGTGTTTTTTTTTTTTTTTTTTTTGTTTTTTTTTGTGTGTGTGTGTTTTTTTTTTTTTGTTTTTTTTTTTTTTTTTTTTTTTTTTTTTTTTTTTTTGTTTGTTTTTTGTTTATGTTTGTTTGTTGTGTTTTTTTTTTTTTTTGTTTTTGTTTTTTTTGTTTTTTTGTTTTTGTTTTTTTTTTTTTTGTTTTTTTTGTTTTTTTTTGTGTTTTTTGTTTTATATTTTGTGTTTTGTATTTTTTTTTTTTTGTTTTTGTTGTGGTTTTATTTGTGTTTTTTGTTTTTTTATGTTTTTGTGTTTGTTTTTTTTTGTTTTTTTTATGTGTTTGTTTTTGTTATTTTTTTTGTTTTTTTTTTTTTTTTTGTTTTTTTTTTTTTGTTTTGTGTGTGTGTTTTTTTTGGTATTTTTTTTTTTTTTTTGTTGTTTTATTTTTTTGTTTTTTTTTGTTTTGTGTTTTTTTTTGTTTTTTTTTTTTTGTTTGTTTTTTTTTTTGTTGTTATTATATTTTTGTGTTGTTTTTTTGTTATGTTTATATTATATTTTTTTTTTTTTTTTTTTTATTTTTTTTTTGGTTTTTTTTTTGATTTTTTTTGTGTTTTTTTGTTATTATTTTGTGTTCTCCTGTGTTTGTTTTTTTTTTTTTTTTTGTTTGTGTGTTGTGTATTTTTTTTGTTGTTTTTGTTGTGTGTTTTTTTGTATTTTATGTTTTTTTTTGTTTGTTTTGTTTTTTGTTTGTGTGTGTATGTTTTGTGTGGGTTTATTTTTTTTTTTGTTTTTTTATATTGTGTTGTGTTTTTTTGTTTTTTGTGTGTGTTTTGTGTTTTGTGTTTTTTTGTGTGTGTTGTGTGTGTGTTTTTTTGTGTGTTTTTTTATTTTGTTGTGTATTTTTATGTTTGTGTTTTTTTGTGTTATTGTGTGTGTGTTGGTTTTTGTGTGTTTTGTTTATATTTTTGTGTGTTTTTGTTTATTGTGTTTTGTTATTTTTTGTGTTTTTTTGTTTTTTTTTGTAGGCATGTTTGTGTGTTTTTATTGTGTGTATGCATGTGTGTGTGTGTTTTTTGTGTAGGCATGTTTGTGTGTGTATTTTGTTTATGCATGTGTGTGTGTGTGTTTTTTTTTTTATGTGTGTGTTATTTTGTTGTATGCATGTGTGTGTGTTATATATTTTTATATATATATATATATATATATATATATATATATATATATATATATATTATATATATTTATATATATATATATATATATATATATATTTACAAAAAGTCATTTTTACATATATTTGTAAATGCATTCCAAAAATGTAGATTTGTATTTTTAAAGACATACAGTATATGTGAAATGTATTTTTACAAATATTTTTCATACATTTTGTAATAAAAATGCATTTCAATGTACAGTATATATATTTATTGAAATACATTGAATACGGCCAAAATTGTAGCATTTCAAATATATGTCAATATATTTGGGAAGAATATTTTTAAGATCTATTTCAAATCTATTTTTCTTCCATGTGGGCAGATCAGATAGAGAGGGTAAATCTCTGCAGCGGGGACACCACAGACAGCAGTAAAAAAAAAAAAATAAAAAATTGAGTTTTAACCCTTCCCTGCTCCATCTAAAATTCGCATTGAAGTGGACAGTTTATTTGGGAAGTTCCCTGTGAATGTCTGGGGTGTAGCCGTGTGTTTTCCACCAATCATCTGTGTCTCATTAACGCTTTCCTATTAGAGATTCTTCCCGACTTATTTTCTGTCTGCCATTAATTATTAAGTTGCAGAGGAGCGAAGAAGCCCTGGAAATGATGTAATCTTTGTAATGTGGGTATATTCAGAGGTGGCCCTTTCTGGGGTAGGGTATTGGGGGGGTGGTAATGGCTCTTCACTGCGGAGGGGGGTATAGATGCCGCCCCCCCCCCTCGGGCAGGGAAAGTCAGTGGATGGGTGAGGAGAAGACTGTGATTGGACCTTTTAGATGTCGCTAATGCCGCTGTGTGTTTTTCTGCTCATAGCATGGACCCATTCATATGACTAATTTAGGTACAGGCTTCCCGGCCCAGTGCAAGGCGGACGCTCCCGCAACCAAAGTCGAAGCAACCTGCAGCAAGGATCGCGAGAGGGACAGGTGAGAAGAACACCCCCTCCCCCCTAGTATGAATAGAGGACCCTCAAATCGGCCTGTATGGTAGCTCCCCAGTATTTGGTCATTAGATTGGTCATAGGACCCCCCCCAAAAAAAAAATGAAAAGACGAACACACTGCACCCTCCATAGAAGATTGGCTTTCCGGTGAGGATTTGAAAGTCGTCTTTGTCGTCTTCCCTTAGGGATGCCGGGATGGATCAGAGTGATTCCAATTGGTCAAAGCAGTCACATGCCAGCCATGACTGATCAGAATCGTTCCGATCCATTCTGACATCCCTAATGTGGAAGTTCAGGCGAACACTAAAGCAGGCCATACATGGGTCGAATTCCCAACGATTTTTCGTTCGAAAATCGGAAAACGTTGTTCGCTCAGTAATCCGATGGAGCCATCAATGATTTTGTGTTTGCTTGAAATTCCCCTTTAAAGCGGAGCTCCGCCCAGAAAGGAGGACGTTCCGCTTTGAGGCCTCGCCCCCTGCTCCCCATTGAGGATTGGCACCTTTGGGAAGTGGGGGGGAGCAGGTACCCGATTTTGACTGCTACCCACTCCCACCTAGGTCAGGGGTCTCCAAACTATGGCCCCCCAGCTGTTGAAGTACTACAAGTCCCATCATGCCCCTGGGAGTCTTCCCTGCGGCTGTCAGTCTTGCAAGGCCTCATGGGACTTGTAGTACTTCAACACAAACTATGGCCTACCAGGAGTTGAAGAACTGCAAGTCCCATGAGGCCTTGCAAGACTGACAGCCACAGGCATGACTCCCAGAGGCATGATGGGACTTGTAGTACTTCAACACAAACTATGACCTACCAGGAGTTGAGGAACTGCAAGTCCCATCATGCCTCTGGGAGTCTTGCCTGTGGCTGTCAGTCTTGCAATGCTCAACACCTGGTGGGCCATAGTTTGTGTTTAAGTACTACAAGTCCCATGAGGCCTTGCAAGACTCTGACAGCCACAGGCAAGACTCGCAGAGACATGATGGGACTTGTAGTACTTCAACACAAACTATGGCCCCCCAGGTTTTTAAGAAATGCAAGTCCCATGAGGCCTTGCAAGATTCCCAGAGGCATAATGGGACTTGTAGTAGTCTGGGGCGGACTACTGACAACTCATGGGGCCCCTGGGCAATAGGGGATCATGGGGCCCCTGTGTCCTTGCCCAAACTCAAAAAAAGCCTATGAAAAAGGTACCAGGGGCATCTCATGGGGCCCCCTACTGACCCCGGGCCCTCGGGCAGCGCCCGAGATTCCAAATGGTCAGTCCTCCCCTGGTAGTACTTCAACACAAACTATGGCCCCCCAGGTTTTTAAGAACTGCAAGTCCCATGAGGCCTTGCAAGACTCCCGGAGGCATGATGGGACTTGTAGTACTTCAACACAAACTATGGCCCCCCCATGTTTTTAAGAACTGCAAGTCCCATGAGGTCTTGCAAGACTCTGCCTCTGGGAATCTTGCCTGTGGCTGTCAAAGTCTTGCAAGGCCTCATGGGACTTGCAGTTCCTCAACACCTAGAGGGCCGTAGTTTGGAGACCCCTGACCTAGGTGAATGGAAGTAGAAGTTCCTGTTTGAGCTGACAACTCTGCCTCTGTCACACTGCGATCCCACACGACGTCAGTTTTGCCCAGTTTTCTCCTACTGGACTACAGAACACCCTAGCCTTCTAGTGTTCTGTAGTCCAGAAAGCGAGAGCAGGGCAGGCCTGACACCGTTTGGCATTTCAAAAGGCAGTGAGTAGTCAGCAAAACGGTAGGTTCAAAGCCCATTGTTTTTTTTTGTTTTTGTTTTTTTTTTGGCTGACCTCGCATGTGCCTGTTCTCCACTGACCCCACTCATGTTCCTGCAGGCAGCTGATGCCCCCGCCTCCTGGACTTCCAGTACCGACCCAGAAAGACGGCGAAGACAAACCATTTCCCCGCTCGTCCTCGGCCTTGGACGGTGAGTATCCCAGCAGCAGCTGCTGCTTATCCAATCAGAAGTCAGGAGTGGGCCCATTCCGGTTATTTTTTGCTTTAAAAGGTGCCTGTGACCTATGTGCACTCGAGGCAGCCATCTTGTCTGCTTGGCCAAAGTCTCGGCTCGGCAACGGCGCCAACGAATCGGCCCGAGACTTTCAGCACAGCACACAAAAAGCAGCTCCCTCCGTGGTGTGGAGGCGACAGGGACTCTTTAAAAAAAATCCCTTGGCCTCAGAGCCAGGCCATTGTATAAAACAGTCCCTACCGCCCTGCAAGCGATTAATACAGAGGGTGGGGATCGACTTTATACTGGTATCCATGTTTGCGGCGTTTTTGTCTAACTGGATATTTTTGTATTTTTTTGTGTCTTCTCTTTTTTTTTTTTTTTTTTTTTTCTTCTCCCTTCTCTTCTCTTCCATGACCGCGGATGCGTGCTGGCGCGCCATGGGTGACCTGTGACATCTGACCCGGGGTGACCTTTCTGTGCCTGATACAAAATGGTGTTCAACTAACGTATTTAATTCTCTCACAAATTAACGGATGCCGCTTGTCCTTTTTTTTTTTTTTTTTTTTTTTTCGAGGGTTTCTTTTTTTTTTTGTTTTTTTTTGTTTTTGTTTGCCCCGCCCCTTCTGTCTTCCAGAAATTCCCACCAAAAAGGCGAAGTCGTCTGACAAGACCTTCGGGCTGGTCGCCTACGCGGGGGACTCCTCCGACGAGGAAGAAGAGCACGGCGCCCACAAGGGTTCGGGGTCTTACACGCCAGGCTGGAACGTGGGCTACCAGTACCCGGCAGGCCAGCAGCGATCCAAACAGCAGATGCCTTTCTGGATGGCCCCCTAGGACTCTCATTTTTCCCGTTTTTTTGCATTCCAGCAACCCCCCCATCTCTCCCACACCTCTGTGACTTGTAGCAATAATTTTGGCATGTACACAACCCCACCTGAGACCTTGTGCGTGTTGCATTTTATTTTTTTCTATTACAAAGTAAGGAAACTTTATTAGCAAGAGCAGGTGAAGGGATGCAAAAAAAAAAAAAACGGGATCCATTTTTATAAAGCTTTATTTAAATCGAACATTTTTACTTTGAAAAATGACAACGTTCCATTTTTTTTTTTTTTTAAAGGGCTGTTTCTGTTTTGTCCCTTCCAAAAACAATTATGGATCACAGGAGAACAGCGACCGAGGGCCCGATGTTTTTGTACCTGGTCTCCTTGTCTAGGACTGTTGACATTGCTGGGGCTTGGGGCGCTTTGTGTTGGCTCTAGTTGCGATGGAATGGGTTTGGCTTGATGTTGGTGCTGGAGATAGCTGCGATTTGGGTGAAGTAGTAGCCGTGTTTCTTGCCTGGGCAGCCATGTGGCCAGAACATCGTTGGTGGCTGAGACTGAGCTTGGAACGCCGCTCCAAAGCCAGGGGTTCCATTCCCATGATTCGCAGGTAACCGGGTGTAGGCTCTCAATATGCCCATGTGTACAGTAAATAGGGAGAACGCCACTCTCCCAAACCAGTCACCATAACCATTGTATGAAGATCCACTTCAGCCTACATCTGTCCGAAGAAACCATGCCCCCAACGCGTTTCGTCCAAGAACGTGGTTTCTTGGCGGAGAAGCTGTAGGCTGAAGTGGATCCTGTTAAGCACAGGCTAGATCCCATGAAGCTGCACACCCATGCAGACCCACTGGTATTGGAATGAACGGCAGTCTTAACCAGGCCACACCTCTCCAACGCGGTTCGCCCCAGAATGTGGTTTCTTGGCGGAGAAGCTGTAGGCTGAAGTGGACCCTGTTAAGCAAAAGATAGATCCCATGAAGCTGCAGACCCACTGGTATTGGAATGAACGGCAGTCTTAGCCAGGCCACACCTCTCCAACGCGTTTCGCCCCAGAACCTGGTTTCTTGGCGGAGAAGCTGTAGGCTGAAGTGGATCATGTTAAGCAAAAGGTAGATCCCAAGAAGCTACACATCCATGCAGACCCACTGGTATTGGAATGAATGGCAGTCTCAGCCAGATCACATCCATCAATGCGTTTTGCCCCAGAACGTGGTCTCTTGGCAGAGAGCTGTAGACTGAAGCAGATCCTGGTAAGCAAAGGCTAGATCCCATGAAGCTGCACATCCATGCAGATCCACTGGTATTGGAATGAATGGCAGTCTCAGCCAGATCGTACCCACCAGCGCGTTTTGCCCAAGAACCTGGTTTCTTGGCGAAGAGCTGTAGACTGCTTACCAGGATCCGCTTCATCCTACAGCTTCTCCGCCAAGAAACCAGGTTCTGGGGTTAAACGCGTTGGAGAGGTGTGGCCTGGCTGAGACTGCCATTCATTCCAATACCATGGGATCTAGCCTTTGCTTAACAGGATCTGCTTCAAAGGCTAGATCCCATGAAGCTGCACACCCACGCAGACCCACTGGTATTGGAATGAATGGCAGTCTCAGCCAGGCCACACCTCTTCCAACGCGTTTTGCCCCAGAACCTGGTTTCTTGGCAAAGAAGCTGTAGGCTGAAGTGGATCATGTTAAGCAAAGGATAGATCCCAAGAAGCTGCACATCCATGCAGACCCACTGGTATTGGAATGAATGGCAGTCTCAGCCAGGCCACACCTCCCCTACGCGTTTCGCCCAAGAACATGGTTTTTTGGCGGAGAGCTGTAGACTGAAACCTCTTAAAGGGCTTGGAGGCACCGGCCCAAAGGGGTTAATATCTCAAATCCCCATGTTATAGCAGACCTATACTTTGATGTTTAAAGTACAACTCCAGGAAAAAAAATGTTCCTATACAGTGGGGCTGTGCCCGCACGGCAAGGGTTAACGGCTCGTTTGGCCAGGGGTGGCAAGAAAGCCTTTACTCAACCAATCCCTTATTCCCAGCTCAAACGGCACTCCCCCCACAATCCAGCAGTGGACTGTTCCTGACGTCCTCGCGTCCAGAGCAGGTCTATGGGCTTGATGTCAGGAACGGTCCTGCCCAGGAGGAAGGGGGGAGGAGCTGCAGGTACCGGTATTGTGCTGGGAGGTTCGAAGGATTGGGTAAGCGTATCTTTCTTTTGCTCCCTAGACATTAAAACCAGCAGTTAACCCTTGCAGGACATGCACAGCTCTACAGCGTGGGATTTTTTTTTTTGTGCCCGGAGTTGGGATTTAAATCTGACTGGGAAGGATAAATATCAAGTCTAGGGCTATGAAGGCACCTAAAAATGTAAAGTGGACCTCCAGAGGAAAAAAAAATAGACCTGTCAAAGCAGCTTTTGCTGCAATACCAGCCTTCAATCCGCAGCTGTTCCCTGCAGTAATCCAATTCCATCACTAGATGTCCTCAGTCTTCTGGGTTGAATGAAGGTCAGCGTCCTCCAACCCACCTCTTCTGCACCCAGGTTGTCACGGACACACCCCTGAGGGGATTTTGGCAATGCCTTCCTTGGCTCGGCAGGCTATTGCACCGAACGGCGTTCACAGGGAAGCAATGTAAGTATTTCAGGGCTTTGTAAGGCCGGGGTTCTTCTTTACCAGCTTGTTGGCAGTTCCATTTTGCTGCCCACTGAAGGTTTATGTGATGCTTATTGGATTACTGTCCACAAGCAGATTTTCTCACCCTTGTAGCTCTAGACCCCAGGGGTCTCCAATCTTTCAAAACCAAAGGGCCAGTTTACTGTCCTTCAGACCTTAGGGGGTCCCTGCTGTTGTCAGAGGGGGGTAGAAACTGTCCAGACGTCAGTGGGAGCAAACTATTCCTCCTCCTAATATCAAAGGTGGGGCACAGTGTCCTACTCCGGGTGTCATTGTTAGGAATTCTATCCCATTGTTGGTGTCAGCGGGAGGAATAATGACCCAAGGGCTGGATAAATGGAAGCAAAGGGGCCGCAGTTTGGAGACCACTGCTGTAGACTGAATAAAGTGGCATATACACCTTTTCTTGTAAAAGTCTGACCAAAAGCCTAGGCATGATCTTTGCCAAAGTGGAGGATCAGCCAAATTGAATTCTGAGATCATGTGACCAACTCACCTTGAGTGAGTCACGTTGTCCATTTGCTTAGAGACCGCCTCTTGGCAAAAGGGCCCGACACACACTGGTACTGGCCTTGGCAGGCAATTCACCTTGAGTGAGTCACGTTGTCCATTCGCTTAGAGACCGCCTCTTGGCAAAAGGGCCCCCGACACACACCGGTACTGGCCTTGGCAGGCAATTCACCTTGAGTGAGTCACGTTGTCCATTTGCTTAGAGACCGCCTCTTGGCAAAAGGGCCCCCGACACACACCGGTACTGGCCTTGGCAGGCAACTCACCTTGAGTGAGTCACGTTGTCCATTCGCTTAGAGACTGCCTCTTGGCAAAAGGGCCCCTGACACACACCGGTACTGGCCTTGTCAGGGTTTTGCCACTGGCACCTTCCAGAATTAAAGTCCCCAGTGGCTGGTATCTGCCTCTAGCGGGAATGTTGACTGTGGTCATGTGAACGGTGCAAATTGGGTGCTAGACTCGAGGAGGAGATCAAGAGCTCCTTCGTACATGAAAGCTCCAGGAATTTTCCATGGTGGCAAATGCTGGCAAGGTATCGGTGATTGGGAGCCCCTTGCCAAAAAAAGGTCACTTTGCCTCGAATGGTCATTGGAGATTGTGTCTCCTGTGGACTGCTGGAAGGACTTTCTTCCAGTCATAGAGACCACATCTCATAAACTATCTCGATCGAAACCAGCAAGACTATTATGGTAGCTGCACTTTGGTGCCATGAAGGTGACCATTCTTTGACTGAAACGGCAAACTAGCTTGTTGGCCACCGTACATATTAATCCGGTGACCGGTACACCTGCGTTACTTCCATCGACTAGTCTAGACCAGAACCTGGTAGCATCTCCTAGTATTCACCGTAAAAACACTCCACGTCGTGTCCAGCCGATCCTTCTCCAACACTATAAAGCTGACCCCCCCCCCCCCTGCATGTTGCCGCTGTGGCTGGCGCCCTAAGCCGCCACAGCCCTCCATTATTTATATTCTCGTTGTTCTGAATTGCCTCGAACCCCGATCACATTTTGTTACAGTAGAAGACCAGGGCTCCCGCAATGTCTACATTTCACCACCTGCTGCTGCCGACGACGCTTTGTACCTTAAACTTTTTTGCTGTAAATATGAGGACTTTCATTGTAAATAAAATGTATAAATATTCAGCTGCCGTCTTTTTCTTGGCTTTCTTTTGAGTGATGTCCTGGAAGAATGGGCCTCTTTCAAAGGGAAGGGTTCTAACCCCTGTTGGGTTT